TGTAAAATTGAAGAAGAAAGAAAAAAAGAAATGGATAGGAAATTAAGAAGAGAAGGGCCAGCCAAATAACTCAGCAGATTAAAGTGCCTGCAAGCAGGCGCAGGGGCGAGGGGTTCAATCCCTGGACCTGCCATGCCTGCCCTGCCCCTGGGATGTGCAGAGATGACAATTGAGACTGGGCATGGTGGCGTGCGCCTGTAATTCCAGCTCTTGGGATGGTGTAAACAGGAGAATCACTATGAGTCCAATCTAGTAGTGAGACCCTGAACACCCTGTAGACCCTTCCCTAAAATACAGAAAAAAAAAAAAAAAAGAAATTAAGAAGAGAAAAAGTACAAACAATTGTAGAAAGGAAACAAAACAAATTAAAGCATTACCTGCTTCTTTCCACAGACTAGCAGAAATTCACACTTCGGCAGTGATGTTGTAACTAAAGTCAACGGCTTTCAGAGCCCACTGAGCCCTATGTAACTGCCTTGAACCACCCGTGTTGCAACCCTTCCGCCTTCTTCTCACTACCACACAAACAGAGATCGGAAGGGCCAGCGAGGCTGGCAGCCCAGGCCTGACACCTTGGCACCTTGAGGACTTAGTTAACTCACATGACATTCACACAGGCAGGAGAGCTTCCTGGGTAGCAGACCCCTCCCATCTGGCCTGCTGCTAGTGAGGTGGCCACCATACCCCACAGGAAAACACAGTACCTGTTTGTTTTTTTGGTTTTTTGTTTTGGGACAAGGTCTTGCTCTGGAGTCCAGGCTGGTTTTGAACTCATAGCCATCTTCCTGCCTCAGCTTCCTGAGTGGCTGTGATTGTAGGTTTGTCCCTCCACGCCTGTCTTAATGACTTGGTTCTTGTTCTCCCCTTCCTTTCCTCCTTCCCTTACTGCTTCCTGGTATTGGGGACCGAACCCCAGGGATTTTGCATTCAGCTATATTCCCAAGTCATTTTTCAAATTTCCGAGGCAGAGTCTCATTAAATCATTAAGTTGTTCAGGCTGGGCTTAAATTTATGATCCTCCTACCTTGCCCTCTCGGAGTGCGTGGATTTCAGGTGTGTGCCAACATGCTGAGTTTGTTTTTGTTTGTTTTGACACAGGGGATTGAATCTAAGGCTTCATGCATATTAAGCATATGTTTCACTATTGAGTTACATAGCACCCCCAAGTCTTTCTTTTCCCCAAGAGATAGGGTCTTACTATGTTGTCCTGGTTGGTCTGTAGCTCAAGTGATTCTCCTGCCTTAACCTCCCAAGTAGCTGAGAATATAGGCTTTCAAAACATAACTGACAGGGCCCGCCAAGTAGTTCAGTGGATTAAAGTGCCTACAAGCAGGCACACGGGCTGGGGTTCAATCCCTGGGCCTGCTGTGCCAGCCCCGCCCCCAGGGCAAACTCCAGTGGTCATTGAGACTGGGTGTGGTAGTGCACGCCTGTAATCCCAGCTCTCGGGAGGCTGTAAACAGGAGAATCACTAGGAGTCTGATCTAGTAGTGAGACCTTGAACACCCTGTAGACTGTTCCCTAAAATACAGAAATAAAAATGTAAGTAACATAGAAGGGGTCATGGTCAATGACTGCGGAAAACCCAGCGGTCAGGGAAGGTCCCTGCAATGTGTGTATATCACTGTGATTTTCTTCCTCTGAAGTAATTCAGAACGTGCCATAAGAGTATGTCTCAGGCAGTGCCTCAGTAGCGTGATTGGTTGGGCATGTCCTATATGCTGGGCACTGAATCGAGGGTTTCACACATGACTTCTCATTTATTCCTGAACCCCACCCTGACTGGTGTGACCTCCTAAGTCCTTTTCCCAGATGCAGTTGGCCCCAGAATTCAGTTGGTTACTTAGAAGGAATGGTTAAAAATTGGAGAATCAAAGAAATGCTGTATTTCCTTTAAATGGTTTATTTTAAACCCAAAGCACAAGTAATAAGGCACATGCCAGTCCCAGTGTGCGACCCAGGCCTCGTCCTGCTATGGGCCCACTGGATGGCACATTCTGCCTTTTCTAATTAAATCACATATCTGATTTGCAGTTTTGGTTTCTTTAAAGCAGAGCAAGAGCTGAAAGACATTGATGAAGTAATCTGCATGCAAAAAACCTTCTAGAATCTTTTACAATCATACTTTTTTTTCCGGAGACTCAGTCTTTCTTTTTTTATAAGGAAATTTTACAAACCCTCTTCCTCTAATTGGCTTACCTACTATTTAATTAGCTTGTATATAATTTTAACAACAACCATAACAGGCATCCCTAGGTCTGCAGGCAGCGGCTGGCTGCCGGCAAGCTCACAACTCAGTTGGGAGAAGCCAGGAGAAGCAGGGGCCCCTGAGGGGCTGGGCTTGCCAAGCTTGTACCCCGGGAGCCGCAGAGAGAGATGGAGAGCCTGGTCCCACAGTTGAGGCAGGGTAGGTTGTAGGTTTCTCCTGCCATATTCACTCTCGCTTTACTGATGGTGCCACTGAGGCTCCGGAGAGTGAAATAAGAATCTGGGGCAGGATGGAAGGGCCTGGGTCTGAGTCATGGTTATCAAAAGGCAGAGTTGTGGGTTTCTTGTTACCACACAAACCACACTGTTCTGCTTTCAGGGCCTCTGGGATTCTGGAACTCAGCGTTCACCTCTACACTTTGCCCCAGTTTGTGCATTCAGATGCTGACTGACTCCACATAGGGTGGCCGATCTAGTCTTTTTCTCCCTCCAGTAGTGGGAATTGAACCCAGGGCCTTGTGCATGCTAGCAAGTGCTCAGCTACTGAGTCACGGCCACCTACTGCCTAGGGTCTTTTTTTTTAAAAAAATATTTATTTATTTATTTATTTGTGTGTGTGTGGCCAGCTCACCCCCCGGGGTGGGGCTGGCTGGCTTGTGGTGCTGGGGGATTGAACTGCGGTCCCTGTGCTTGGCTTACCTTGTTCTAAGTAGGTGCTTTATTTTTTTTTTTAATTATTTATTAATTTATTTGTGTGGCCAGCTCAGCCCACCAGGGGGCGAGGCTGGCTGGCATGTGGTGCTGGGGGATTGAACCGCAGTCCCTTTGTTTTTGCTAAGCTTGTTCTAAGTAGGCGCTTTAGACCACTGAGCCATCTCACCAGCCCCTAAGTAGGTGCTTTAGACCACTGAGCCATCTCACCAGCCCCTAAGTAGGTGCTTTAGACCACTGAGCCATCTCACCAGCCCTGCCTAGGGTCTTTTTATTTTTTATTTGGAGATGGGGTCTTGCTGAGTTGCCCAGGATGGCCTTGCTCTTATGATTCTCTCCTGCCTCTGCCTCCGCCTCCCAGGTCACCAGGATTAAAGGCATGTACCACTGTACCCAGCAGTGGATCTGCTGTTATTTGATCTTCCCCCGGCCTGGTTTTCATTCTGTCTAAATGCCCCTTCCCTTCCCTAGAACCAGCTTTTTAGAGCACGACATCATCCTTGCCCTGTCCTTTCTGCTAAATGATCGCCACCCAGCCTGCCGGGAGAACCTGCACCAGGTGTACAAGCAGTTGGCCCAGCTGCCTTCAGGTAGGCTCACACCCCTCCCGTGGATCCTCTGAGCCTCCGGGTTGCCCTTGGACCCCTCCTCTCCGTCGCGTATGAGCTGTGTTTCACATCACAACCCATAGCATGATTTTGAAAAGTTACGTTTGAGCTGGCTGTGGTAGTGCACCCCTGTAGTTCCAGCCACTGGGGAGGCTGAGGCAGGGAGGTCATTTGAGCCTAGGAATTTGAGACCCACCTGGGCAACATAGGAGAGCTTGTCTCAGTGACAACAGCAATCAAAACTATAAAAGTCTCCTTTTTATTAAATGATAACCTACATTTTTTCAAAAACACGCATAGGGACTGGGAGTATAGCATGTGGTAAGGTGTAAGCTTAGTGTATACAAGACCCTGGGTTTAATCCCCAGTACCCTTTCCCCCAATAACCCCCCCCCCACAAATAAATGACAATTTGATTAAACTCTCCTGAGCATTCTATGTCACAACCATGTCAGCCAAGACTGTCCTATTACCAGCCCTCGACACTCCCCTCGCCTCATAGGGAGTTACTGCCTCTCACCCTGAGGGAAGCCACATCTTCAGTTTATAAGGTCATATCTTCAGCTCCTGCCTTTCTTCCCTTTTGAGGTGCTAGGGGTGGAGCTCGGGACCTCACCTATGCTAACTGTGTGTTCCCCTACCGAGCTTCCCCTCAGGGCACTTTATTTCTTTTTAAACTTTACAGACATGGAAACACAGCCTGCAATACTTTGCTCTTGGCTGCTGTTCGCTCAACATTTTCTTTCTGAGATTCATGTGTGTTGTGTATTACTGATGTTTGCGTCTTTGTGCTAGAATTTGGTATTTGTATTACGTGAGAACTGCACACTACAGTTTATCCATTCTGCTGCTGAGAGACATCTGGATTGTTTCTATTTATGGCTACCAAGAACACAGCTGCTTATAAGTGTCTTTTGGTGGACATATATACATTTATTATGAGGTATGCCTAGGAATAGAATGGCTGGAATAGTCTACATTTCTGTTCAGCTTTATACAAGGTACTACCAAGTGATTTTCTAGATTAGTAGCAGAAAATTTCACTCCCAGCAGCAGTGTATGAGAGTTCCAGGCATTCCACATCCTCACCACCTTTGATCTTTTTTTTTTTTTTTTTTTATGAATTCAGTAGTTTGTTTGTTTGTTTATTTATTTATTTATTTTTTTTGCAGAACCAGGAATTGAACTCAGACCCTGCGCTTGCCAGGGAAGCGCTTATTCTACTGAGCCATCTCCCTGGCCCACCACATTTGATCTTGACAAACTTTTATTTTAGCTATATTGGTGAGTGTGTAATGGGCCTCATGTTAGATTTAATTTGTATTTTCCTGGCAATCAAAAGCAAGGCCCTTTATTTATTTGAAGGATTTTTTTCCTTTGGCTAGCTCAAGCTGCCTTAAGGGCGGGCCTGTTATTTATTTATTTATTTATTTATTTATTTATTTATTTATTTATGATAGGGTCTTGCTATGTTGTCGAGGCTGACCTGAATTTCTGGGCTCAACTAATCGTCCTGTCTCAGCCTCCTGAGTAATAGACTACAGGTCCCTAGCACTGGCAAGCAGGCAAGGTTATTTAAATGTTCTCTTTTGTGAAGTGCCATGCCAGGTGTTTAAGGAATTAAAAAGGTTTCCCAAAGCAGCGGGCACTGCATACACATTTAGCAAGGGTCGCCCCAGCCCTGACCTGAGCGCCCTTCGGTTGACAGCTCCTGCTAATTAAATAAGGAGCCTCGAGTAACAGCTACCCGCCAGCCACTGCTAGAGGGCTGACACTCGTGTCACGGTGACATCCAGCTGGTTGCAAGGTTGCACTGAACATCTTTAAACAAGATGTTCATTTCAAGAGATGAGACAGGCCTCAAAGGAGTCCCTTAGATGAAGCTAGACCAATGGGTATTGTAGCCCAGGAGTCAGATGTGCCTGGGTTCCCTCTGCCCCTTCCCTTCTCCCTGTTCCTTGGATGCCCCCAGACAGACAATTTTACGTCTAAAGTGAGGACGAAGTGAGCAAGCACCAGCCAGGCAATACAGCAGCCAGCAACCAGCATGAAGGATCAAGTATAAACATCCCAGGACAGCTATGAGCACTCCCTGAGTTAAGGCCCAAAGGGAAGGAGCTATGTATGGGATCAGGCATAGAGCGGCAAGCCCAACAGAGCCTAGGATTGTCACCTGGCCCCGTGGTACATCTATTCCAACTGCGCCTGGCTAAGTGTTGGAGACCATGCAAGGCTGGAGAACAGAAGCCCCCAGTGGTCTCCTTAAAAGGCTCCTGTATCCCTGGGTCTATCCCAGGCCACCAGGATCAGTCTCTGTTGATGCACATGAATTTGTGGAATGCACCTTGGCTCCTTCCTCACATTGCCAGGAGTTGAGAGCCACAGTGGTATGGGATGACTCCATGGAGGACTGGAACTAGGGCTGAATTAAATGATTGCTCTATGTTTACCATTCAGGAAGGCAAGGTATGAGCCAGGGTCTAGTTCCCTCCTTCTTGGGGTAGGAGCTTCTAGGGGACTTGCTGATCTCACTCAGAGCTTCTACAATTGCTGTGACCTGTCCAAAGCATTCAGAGAAACAATTAGAGATGACAATTATGAACATTGGGACCACTGCCCAGCTTTGCAAAGCTGGGTAACATTCTACCTTTGGGTTTTTTTTTTTTTTTTTTTGGCCAGCATCGAACCATGGTCCCCTGCACCTGCCTAAGCTTGCCTAAGCAGACACATTAGACTACTGAGCTATCTCACCAGCCCTGGGTAACAGTCTATTATATTTCATATTTGCTTGAGATTTTTTAAAAAAGATCAAAAATATAATTCAAGCATCCTG